GGAACCGTTATTAATGAAAAATTTTGAGTGTTCCCCTGATTTAAAATTTAAGAGGATACAATTAAAAATATAGATATAAGTAGTCCACTTCCTGCATCTCTACTCTTTAACCACATATATAAATTATTTTGAAGAGCAAAAGTTAAGGCTAATATGTAGCAAATTCGGCCCCCATTGGCATTTACAAAACCTGGCGCCTATGTATCCAACTTAGTTTCAATTTATTGTAATTGTAATTTTTTTTTTTTTTTATCAGGAACATATGCGCCATTCAAGAGAAGATCATTTAGATCAAATTGGAAGAATACATGTAACAGACGAACAATCACTTGAAGATTCTGGTCCACAAGGACATGACTATCCACAAAGTGATAACAGTAGTCAAACCACTAACCTAATCCAAAGCAAACATACTAACATATCTAGTTCTGATTGTTATGTTCCATCAGGTGACCTTATTCCAGTGTTAATGAAGCATGACCCTCCTTGCCATTATCCTTCTGTTGAAGACGAAGAAGGTGATGGATTGATGAGTTCCTATCCAATAACAGCTGAAACTAAAGATATTGAGTGTCAAACTAGAGAGAGCCTTTTCGACACTTCAGTTGTACCAAAAACTGCTGCCCACTATAGAGTAAGACCATCAGAATCACCTTTCAGACCACCATTAGGATTTTCTACTTTTGGATATCGAAAAGATTCAGACAGTTCTGCTGATGCAAAGCCATCAAAATTTAGGGCTGAGGCTGTTATTGAAATGGATAAATTTTCATCTGAACTAAGTCAAAGGCCTTATAGTATTGAATCAACTAAATCAGCTCCAGACGTCATAGTTATGCACTGATTAGTATACAATTGTATACAATATTACTATTATTTTAATTAATTAAAGTAAGCTTGTTGTTAAGAAAAGCCAAAAATTAAACGAAATGCTCAAATAATGAATTGGACTAAAATAAATGAGATAATGTACACTAAATCTGAGTATAATTAATATTTTCAATAAATTATACATTTAGAAATTTGTCATGTTTGTCAATTGTTAAGATTTATCAATGAAAATATTGTTCAACCTTTAGATATCTATACTGTCTTATGTTCTGAGTGATAATTGGAAACAACTGTATTATTTTAAACTATTTAAGAATGTCACGTAAATTATTCCTAATTAGTAAGTATTATGTTTTTTTTTTTTTATCATCAATATACTTTATTATGTTTATTAAAATTTAAACATACACAATTACAATCAATGTTTATTATTTTTTTTCATTTTTTTTTGTTTTAGTATTTTAAATGTATAAAATCATTGTATATATTATTATTGTAGATAGACCTTCAGTTAATTTTTTACGGATGTACATATTGCTGTGATAGTGCTCTTAAAAACTTTAGTTTTCTTATATTGGCTGCTTCTCTTTTAATTTCTTCATTATTATTTGCATTTAACTCCAACGCACCAATTGTTTTCAACTATATATGTAAAAAAAAAAAACACTCCATTTTAAATAGATATACATATAAAATAAAAAATTGTACTTTCAAAATGTAAATAGAATTTATATTACAATATATTAAATGTATTATATATATGATATCAAGGGACTTTTTTTCAAACTTAACACTCATTAGTCATTAACTTGAACTACTAAAACTTTTTCAAAAGTTTTAGTTTTTTAATTTGAGAATGACGACAAATTTTTTATTTAATTTTTGTATGATTTTCAAAACAGAATATTTTACCAAGGTTAGGTAAACAAAAATCAAATTTTTGAACATGTCATTAATAAGCTATAACTTGATAATATTTAAACTTTAAATCTTAAATGAACAGGAGTGGAGTAATACATTATTTTAATATCCTATATAACATTAATCTGTTTACCTGAACTTTAATACTTTATAAATAATTAAATGCCGGTTCAAAATTCTATTTTTATAAATCGAAAAATTAAAGAAATGTTTTACTTTGGAATATGCAATTAAAAATGTATGGTTTGAAGTGAGAAACTTTAAAGTAATAACAATAAAATTATAAAAATATGTTTAGTGATGCCTAAAATGATATAACAAAAAAACACATTGTAATGAGTTTTTTGATAAAAGAATCTCTCTGCACGCTTACAAAACAAATAACTTGCAATGTATTATGATCAATATWMTTTAMCCCTCAACAAATAATAATTCCATTTACTTTTTCTGACCAATTAAAAATAAATATACCATAGTCCTTCAAATCAYTAAGGAACTAAAATAAAATTCATAATGTAGATCAGTRTTTCTTAAACTTCTTTATCCATGGAACCCTTTTTGATGTCCACTTTTATCGTGGAACCCCTACTTCTTTTTACCTTTTTAGTTTTTTTTAGGATTATTTGCAAATAAATTATAATATTAAGTAGAAGTATAGATTATTGAATATATAGAGTTAGCTGATAGATTATTCCATATGGCTTATACATYATTATTTAATATACAAGTATTATTTTCCATAATGGATATTTTAAAGTAATTTTCTTGAACATTTAAAAAAAATTACTTAGGCTTTGCGGAACCCTGAAGTGATCTACGCGGAACCCCAAGGTTCCACAGAACACAGTTTAAGAAACGCTGATGTAGATGTATTAGAGTTAAAGAAATTTACTTTAATTTAATTTCAAAAAAACTTTGTAAGTATATAATACAGCAAGTCTTCATTTAACTTTGAGCCTAAGTTCCTAGAAAACATAAAATTAAGTGAAACATTTTAAAAAGACACATAATTTGAATGTGTTCCTAGCGTTCCTACCAATACCTAAATAACACAATAGGTAAAATAAAATATATTATAAAAATAAATAATAGGTATAACAACTGTAAAGTACTAAACAAGAATAGTGTCATTAAACAACTTAGTGCTTATTATCCATCAAATGAAGTTCTAAAATAYGAAATATTACAAACATATAATAAGATAGCAAGTCCCAGAATTACATTRTTGCTTGTCTAGATAATGCCAGGAGACGGTCTTGAAAGAATAAGTATGCTCGGATGACGCATAGCAGTACTGCTCAAACTAATTTATTAAAGAAAAGCTTAGTATATTTAAGATAGTAACAGTGTGCAATGACCAGCAAATACAGAATACTCAAAGACCTAGMCAGGTCATGTTGTGTCCCAGAGGTACACTGCTATTCATAATCCCTAGAAACACATTACCCGTCCAGATGATGACTCTCGTAAAAAATTCTTTGGACTCTGTGAGTATACACTTCATACAAGGTAACTAAAATTAAATTACATACCTATATATTTCTGATATTAAAAACAATGTTATACTGAAACTGTTTCATTGTTAGGCGGAACACAAGAKTTATAATTCCATGATATGATATCAAACATTAACAATGTTAAAAGAAGACTTACTATAATTACTTATAAATAACCGTGAAAGTAGCTCTGTTGCATGGTTCAAAGGTTTTAAGTGTACATTGTCATTGAGTAAATCACTGTGAAGGATATGTTAAWTCGAATTCAATGATAAACMATTGCATACAAACATTTATTTAAAGCTGCAATGGTGTAAGACATCAGTCTTTATTGTTAAGAGTATTTTGCAATTATATTAATATTATGGTACTTTGAATTAATTTTTGCCATAAACTTTACGGATGTATTACATAAAAATATAATTGTTATTAACTTTCAAGTAAATACGGGCATATAGTAGAACAGAATAAATAAATTCATGGTATAAATATCCTTAAATTGGTCTGAATATTTTGAAAAATTTTATTGCTTATACAAATGATAATTTTGGTAAAATAAGAATATTTTAAGTTGTTACAGTTAAAATTTTCTAATTTATAACAAAATAACTTATATTTCTGTAGTGAAACATTGTTGTTTTTGTATGAATATCCAAATACGTTGAAATTTAATTTTCAAATGCTTATAAAATCTAATGTGGCTTTACACTGAATATATCACTCCACTCARAATCTAAAATGATTAATAAAATATCAACTAAATTATATTTKTAGTACAATATATAGTGAATATTCATAGATATATCAAGTTTGTGAATATAGATTTTTGTTTTGTTTTTGATAGGATGCCTGTGATTGAATTTGTAATGACATTACATGATTATAAATTCTGATTATATAGAAAATAATAAAGATTATGCCAGTGATTCTATTCAAATTGCAGAATTTTATGTGCTTGTGTAATTTAGGAAGCTAAACTAAATCATCACTATGAAAATAAAACATGAAATTCATTAGAGAATCATTTGTTAAAATCTTCAAGTTATAAAATCCTGAGAGTTTGAATGAATAGRCAAATGACTTATTAATTTTGCATAGGTATTGATGAAAATAAAATCACTTACAAGCTTTTGTCTGTGTTCCTGATGATTTAGTTTAGTATGCCAATATATGAGGAATTCCAACAAACTTATATCCCATATGTAATCATAATATTCATCCAAAGCATCACATGAATTTGTCTCAGAAGCACATTTAAATGCAGTTGCATAATCTATTTCTTCTTGAAACAGACATAATATTGCTGCCTATACAAAAAAAATATAAACATTTTTGTATTGTTTGAAATAAGTTTAATGCTTATAGATTATTACCTGTGTAAAATTTTGCATTTGCATACAACATTTCATCATTCTTTTATAAACATAATCTTCTATCATTGGCTTCAAAACTGGCCGAGCAAAGTAGTCGCTGACTATAACAATGGCTTCTAGATACCATTTCATTGCCGAACTGTAGTGGCCCATTACTGCAAGTCAATAATTAGTAATTATACTCTTTGAATTGTTATAATATTATGTATTATTAATTGAAATGTTTAATTCTTAAACCATTAAAAACTAAAAAAATTAAAACTTCAGTCATAATAATGTCAATAAAATTTAATCAAAATTTTTATTTTTCTAATTGGATATTTTTTATTGTTAATTTTAATCTAGTATCTAGAATGTAGATATGTTTTCACATACTTATCTTAAAACTTCAGCAACTTACATTATAATTATATGATATACATTATTAAGACCGACTAGACCGAGTAATATAATATTACTTACAATATTAATAATATTATATTGTATTRAATAAAAAATTATAAATTTATACCAACAGTGATTTGGTGTAACACAAAAATATCCATGTGAAATTAGTGACATAATTTCATAGGCATATAAAACAAATGGATAGCCGATTATGTCTTATTTAGTTAGAGCACTAAAGTCTGCAGTCAAATGTATTCAGGACAATGCTTACAAAATATTACAACAAATAAGATAGATAATSTAATCATTAAATTATGAGAGTAGTCAGAAGAAATTGTTAGTATAACAGTATCATTTTTTAATTTAGATATGTAATCTGTTATAAATTAAATATTTTGTAAATATTAACATATAGTCTTATTCCCAATAAACTTCAATCATAACGAATGACTATCTAGTTCTTTTTAAAATCTATATAAGACTTATTATTTATTGGACGGCTACCAGACTTCTATAGTTGAACTAAATTAAAAAATAACTTTTTAATTAACAATGTAAATTAAATAATATTTACTTTAACACATAATTATGATRTTTTTATAATTTTTACTAGAAAAAAAAAGAATCGAAGAAAGTTTAAAATGAAGGTTTAACAAAAACTGCCTAAGAAGAATTTATAACAAAATATAGAATATAATATTAAAGTTACCATATTGTAGATCGCCTTTTAGTTTCAATAAAATTATATGATTTGGATGGTACTTGAGTGATTCAGTTAAGACAATTCCTAATACTTCTGTTATATTTCTTAGAGGAATATTCATACTGCTAAAACACAGTACATATTTTAAATTGGATTCACTAAATGTCTTAATAACTTAAAAATTAATTAATAACTTGAGTAACAAAATATGATAGATATTAACAAATAATATATATAATATATATAATATATATAATATATTAAACAAACTTGGGAACGACGGGCCATATATTGAGGAAAGGCATTATAAGTTCCATGGCAGATTCATCTCTAAGAACATTTTGAATTTTTGCTAATAGTGAAAGAACTATTTGAATGGCATTTTGGTCCCTTAAACTCAAAAACACACGCATAATGTCATTTTGGCTTAGTACTCGGTTTTGAGTACATTGAGGATCACCATCTAAAGGTCTTTTATTAGTAGCAGAATAACCATAATCAAACACTGGTAAAACTACAAACATTTAACATAATTAATTACACAACTWTGTTAAATACATTTTTCAACACTTACTTAAATCCCAAACTTCTTTAGCACTTTTTTTAGTGCCTTTAAATTTATTAACATCAAGACAAGTATAAGCAATAGCTAATGGTAATTTAAAGCAATTATAATGTCTTTTTGTTAAATATTCCCATTCACCAACATTTAATAGAGTTAATACACACTGTTCAGCTATTTCTTGACGCGGTATTAAATTATCACTTTGTACAAATTCTAGGCATTGCTTACAGCGTTCCACAAGATCTCCAATGGCTATAAAAGTAAAAAAATTTAAACTTTTATGTAATTGAATATAAATAAATWATTATATATTAGTTATTTTTTAGRTAGCCATGATATAAATACTAACCAAAATTTTTAAATTCATATTGGAATTGAAGCATTTCAGTATATAAACCTTCCCATGAAATTAATTGTCTAATTTTGGAATACATAATGTTATTATTAATTTTTGTTTCTGTTTCAGCTTCTCGTAGTAACAGTTTTGCTCTTTCAAAGTCCTAACAAAAAAATATTTTACTATCGATTAATATTATTTCTATTTGTATTCGTACAGAGGAATTTGTGCAATAACAATATATAGATAAAAAAATTATTTAAATTMATAATTTGACTTACATTTAATTTAATCATTTCTTTCGATTTAGCAATTAGGATGATGACCAAAAATTTAAATAATCCATTAGGTAATCCTATTAAAAGACTTTGCAAAGGTAATGGAACTTGCCACTGAGAAAAAACAATGGTATTGTGGTATTGAAGATAAATTAAATCATAGATTTATCTAATATTATACAATATATTCAGTACAAATGATAATGAACTAATATATCACGTTTATTTACAATTTGTTAATGAGTGATAACCATAAATGGAGAGTAAGTGCATATTGCATATTAATTCCTTTTTCGTTTTATTGGTGAAATCTAATTAACTCTAAATGCACATTATCAATTGCATAGAAACATGTTTAAAAATAAAAATATTAAAACTAATAACTCACTTCATAATTAATATCTAAAATACTAAACATTGGATCCACATCCATTTTGTGTAATTGTTGTAATAARTTGCGTAAGTTGCTTGAATCATATTCAATACTTATTTTGTTTTTTAATAAAACTTTTTGTACATTAATATTATCTAAAAACAAAATATAAAACAAATAGCATAATAATAATAAAAAAAAAAAAATAATAATATAAAAATAAAAGTGTACATACTTATTTGGGTGATTTTTAATCGATCCAAACGTTTAGACATATCAATGTTAACAGTCGGTATATCTTCAGGTGACGCTAATAATTTATGTATGTCAACATCACCCAATAATTCGTTTATTTCCTCATGTCCATCTTTTAAAATATCTTTTACCAAGTTCTTAGGACATTTTAGTAAAACATTACACACAAACATCTTAATGTTTTTTCTAAATTTTTTATCTTTAATTTGCGTGCAAAGTTTTAAATCCTAGAAATTAAAAATAAAATAAAGTTTATGATGTACTTTAGAAAAAAGTTTGAGCCAACTCTTTATTTAATGAACTATTATATTATGCAACAAATTATTATTTACTAAATACTTGATCATTATTTATTTTTAACACTTGGCAATCATTAACAAATTATATTTTTTRATAAAATTAAGSCAATCGCGAAATTAGCTATAAACAATACCATTAAAAATTCAAAATTAGTCGACMACCAATATGTGACTGCACAGTTTTTACTATACCTCTTGGTCAAAACTACACATAGTTAAAAAATAATAATAATTTGTAATGATAACTGTGTGGTAACCAAAGAAAATTTATCTATGCATATACTTTTTCTGAATAAGTTACATATTTAAAATAGATCTCACATTTTGATTAATAAGTTATAAATTACCTTTAAAAATATCTCAGGACCTCTCAGATTAAATTTAATTTTAGTAACATAATCTTCAGGGGGTAACAAGACAATTTCTCCAGAAGTTACTGATGCTCTTCGAATAGCATTCATTGTATGTATATGAAGTAACATGTCTCTCGATGCAGTGAATTTTCCCAAGGATAACATGGAAGCCAAGTCAAGTTCTAAGGAGTCTCTTAAAAACATTGGAATTTCCATAACCTGGTTATCAATTTCTAAAATTTTTAGAATTCCCTGTTCAGAAATAATAAGAAATAATCATACTTAATCATTTAAWAAGATAAAAAGGTAATAATAATAATAGTAATATATAATAATGAATTATATTTACAGCATTATGGTTAGTTTGAGTAGAATACAAAAATTGCATTAATAAACTAGAATTTTCTGTTATTTCAGACGAACAGGCAGCGTAGAATCCATTTAATTCTTCTAGTTTTATTTTATGGAAAGAACTTGGTGTCAAGTTAATATTTAATTCTTTACACTTTTTAAAATAAATTCCAGCTTCTTCATACTGTGCTTTGAAAAATTTGTACTTGGCGTAATCATACATAATCTAAATAGTGGTTAAAAAAATAAAAYGASTATAGTATTTTATAATATTTAATATGAATAAARATTATTAATATAAATACCTGAGAAAGAAATTCAGCTGATGATACAGTTAGGCCTTTAAACCAATGACAAGATAAAGGGTTTAACTCATCAGGCGGATCAAATGTATTTATTGTTGGTATGGTGTATGATGATCTTTTCAAATCTARAAGTCGTAACAACATTTTTTCACTAAGTTCACTTTGCATTTCTAATTTTAATAAAACATCTTCATTTCCATCTCTAAATCAACAGCAGTATAAAGGTAAATATGAATAGTGTATTAGTATAYATTATTTTTATGCATATTTAAACAATATTACAGAAATATCTAAGTAAAATTTTAAGAATTTTTGAATACTTTATTAATAATTATAATATAACTTACTGTACAGGACCTAGATTAAATGATGATTTTTTGGACAGTGTATAATTTATAATAACAGTTAATGTCCATCTATGAAATAGTGCAATAGCAAATACTTGTTCATCTTTTAGCTGTGATAAGTCTTCAATTGAACTATGAGACTCAAAATCAATTAAATTGAGACCATTGGAAACTAAATCTAAAAGGTCTTGGACAAATATTATTTGAAGACTTATTGGAACCCTAAATAAATCAAAATTAATTTTGTTAGTAATATAAATACTAGGTATACCTACTAAAATATAAATTTTAAATTTAAACAAAATCACAAACCGAAAAAAAAACTTACTTAGTTTGAAAGATGTTTAAGTCCCATTCCCAAAAACTGACAATTTTCATAGCTAATATTTTTAAACATTCATATTTTTTACGTTTTCGATATTCAATTTTTTTGTCGATTCTTGAGTTGTCCATTAAATCGTCAATATCAATCAGTGGCAAGTCTTTTGGCCTCTCCATKGATGAATAGAGAAATTTTATTAGTAGTTCTGTGGCACTAGGATCTGTATAAATCAAATATTGTAAGCTACCAAGTGCAAAAAATATAACAACYTTGCCTCATAACAAKTTARGAATTATTGTAAAAAATTACTTAACCTTAACTAATAAATATACCTTTATTTTATTTATATTAGCAAAAAATGTTTCACAAATTACTTAAAACTTCAATGCGATCAGTCAAAAAGTGATTCAAAAAGGGGGAGGGCTTAAATCTTAAAAATGAGATAATCTCTGAATGTGGGACATAAAGTCATACTAGGATGTCTTAATTAAAAGAATAACTTCACAAATTTAATTAAAACACGGCATTTCATGCAATTATTGAATTAGATGTTGTACAATTGAGTTAAAGGATAGACTTCACTAAGGTTAAGCTATAGTATTTTTAATTTGTATTTTTCATACAAAACACATCAGTCTTTAAATAAAATACAATGAAGCTTAATATTTAATCATAACACATGCAATAAAATCTTTAATTGCATGTCTACTTWAGTACCTATCATCCATAAAAAATCTGATAAACATTATATTTACTTAAAATAGCTTTATGTAAAATATAGATCTATAAATGTTGACAATACTTATTTACAYRAATTAGAAAAAAAATTAATAATATTTATACTCATACCTGCATGAGATTTGTTCAAATGTTCTTCAAGAAGAGATGGTTCAATGAGAAATTCAAACCAAAGTTTTGTGTTAGGTGCAATTGGTATCATACCAGGTCGCAAAAGATCTACGTCCATGTTTAAAAACACTTGAGTCAATTGTCTTACAATACCTATATCCGAGTTATAATGCTCTAAGAAACTGTCATTTAAAAGTATTTTAGTATTTCATTAAACATTTTCAAATTTTCAATTTTGTTTACAATTAAACATAGCCATCAAGCCATGATTATRGATAGACATTACGATTTTTAATAACAAATCGTTATCTGGATATTTTGGTTATCATCAAAACTGATATCTTTATCACTTATCATATCAAACAAAAAATTCCCGCGATTTGAATTTTCCGTCCTTACTCCTTTCTTCTTTAATCTATATTCTATAAAAATATATATTTATCCGTGGTAGTGTACTAGTGTGGTTTTAAGTTTCAACTAGTTTCAAGTTTCAACAATAAACYGTAACCGTGACGACAGTGACGAACTCACGAACTGGCGAATGACGATCAACTGTTAAAASTTCATGAATCATTAAATCAAGGAATTCTGTTGTTTTTAGAGACAAATGACAATACAATAGTATAATATTCTCAGTTAATTCCTGAATTAAACCKTACATTCATGATTAAGTACCTGCTAAACTATGGTGATTTGGTAGTCGTACACTCTTAACTATCTTTACACACTAATATACTATATGCTCATAATCTCGGGCTCACTCTTCTACAGTCGATTACGTCTGTACACATGATTCTGTTACATTAATTCTACATTCGTCTTGACATCTTGCGTGGTAAGCTAAGCTGTAATGGAGTTTGCACTTAGCGAAAAGCCGAGAGCAGCGGCCAATGGACAGACCACTGAATGTAACGTAAGTTGTATCACGCGTGGTCCTCATTGCGGTGATTGATGGCACTGTTTAGTGTTTTTGTGCCGAAAATGTATTTCACAAGTACCTATTTAAATTGACGTCTTGTAATCCTTGGATTAAAAAGCTTTTTATTAATTACTTTATAATTTACCTGAGAATAATTTTTTAACGCATCAAACACAAATTAATGAATAAAATAAATAATAACGCGATAGAGTGATGTCTTCGCTATTGAACGATTAGGCCATAAGTCTTGTTTTTTTCCATAAATATTTCATTTAAATTGGCTTAATGTATTTAAAAATAATTTTGATATGCAAAACTGTATAGAGATRGATGTATAATTTGAAAGGAAAACTTCCCGACTTGAGTATTGGTAATAATTAATAGAGCTAATTTTACTCTGAATTTTACTATTTTAGTGTAGATAGTTAGATAYCTTTATCTAATGATTACATATATAGAGAAAGTGGAGAGGATTTGCGATGTTCAATTTTATTTGATACTAAAGTCTATTATTTACCGAGCTCCATCTAAATTTAGCGATAACTGGATAAAATTTGACAACAGATTGATACCGGATGTGAAGCATTATTAATCTTTCTCTAGGCTATAATTCAATGTGATTAAAAAATCTACTATGTCCTTACCTTCTTACATACTTGTCTCCTCCATTTATGCTTTTTGATAGAAATATTAGGTCAAATTATGTTTGTTCAATAATCACTGAAATTGTTGAATAAATAATATCTAAAATTATATCCTAAATTGTTTTTTTACTTTCTAGAATTTTTCTTTTTTATAATTTACATATTAATTGTGTAAAATTAAAATAACTACAATTTATTTTTATAGGCTAAGTTGATTCCAAYAGAGAGCAATGTTAGCAATATGAGTCAATGTATAAAAAGAATTAAGACATCACAAGAGAGTGAAATTTACTTATATAATTCTGAATATTTAAAGACTAACTATGATAAATATATCAGAGATGATTTTTTATATGCGTTTGGAGCATTTTATTGGTAAGTTCTAATCTATTGATTATTTTATTATAAATACTAATTGAACTTTGGTAAAAATTAATTTTTAAACAATGTCTTCTCTTTTTTTTGTTTCAATAAGTTTAATATTGGTAACTAATATTAAATTTATATTGCCTATTTATTTTAAAAGTTCAATTGTCGATTTTTATTAAGTATTCAAAGAATTATTTAGGTTTAAAAATTCAAGCAGGAAACCTATCAGTGGCGTGCCCAGGAATTTGGTATGGGTAGGGGATTTCATAAATAAAAATGTATTATTTTCTATCTTTATTATAATACAAAAAAAAAAATTTGTCAAGGCGGAAATTCATCCTTCTGGCTTTTACAGTAAATTTGTTAATTATAATATGTTCAGTAGCTAATGGAATGTCTCAATGTATGTTCATTAACTACACATTATTTTGATGAACTAGAAATCCAAATTTCAGTAATGTTTAAAGTCGACTAAAAAAAAAAAAGCCCCCCCCGCCACTGAAACCTATAGAGGGTTATGCTTCAAAAATAGACATACATTGTATTAAACTAGAAAGAATACAGAAATATATTCTGTAAAATATGTGATTATTTAATTGTAACAGGTATATATTGTTGTTTCATTTAATTTTAGTGATAAAGTTATGACAATTCCTCATTTAGACCGCATATTGAAAACTGAATGTTATCATCGTGAAACAGAATTAAAATATARACATTATGAGTTTGCAACATACATGGAAAATATAATATCATGGCTTGATCTTAAGTATGTTATTTTGTTATGTTTATTAATATTTTTGAGGAAACATTAAACACAATGAATGCAAATATTTATATAATATTATTAAGTACCTACATTGTAACCGCTAACATACTTTTAAAATTAATAATAAAGTTTCATAAAGTTCTAAAATCTAAAATCAAATTAAACATACATTTTATTTAAATGAGGTAAAAATAAATTATGGCAACATTTAAAATTGTTAGTATTATACAGTTGGTACTAGTTTTAAGTGGTTACTACAATTTTCTCAAGAGTTAACAAGTGACTTTAGTTTGCTTCTAAGATCGAGAAATTTATACTAACCTAATATTTTACTATGGTTTTTGAAAATTACTTAATGATWTGTATGATTTCAAGATTAAAATACTTCAATGGAGAATCATTAAAATCTAATGAAAAAATGCAAGAACAGTTATTCAAAACAATTTATAATAGACAAAGTACAAAAAATAATTTACATTGTAAAGAACTTGATGAAAATACAGGTTCTCATGAACAAAATAATAAATCAAGGTCTGTAGCTAATTCTCAAAATGAAATAATGACATTGCCAGATATGACTACACTAAAAAATGAAGATTACCCTGGAAGTTTAACTAATGATCACAAGATTGACATTTTTATGGTATTTAATATTCTGACAGCTGAATAATTGATAACTTATTATTTATTATTTAACTATATTTTAAATGTTTAGAAAAATACTCAAAATGAATTAATACTGCCAAAAATAACTTCTCCCAAGCATGATTCCCATGAAAATTTAACTAATAATCACGAGAAAGGAATTGMAATGGTATTAATTATGATTATACTATAGCTTATTAAATATTCACTTAACTGTATACTATAAATCATATTAAATATTTCAGGTAAATAATGTTCAAAATAAAATAATAACATTACCAGATGTAACTTCTCCAGAACATGATACTCTTGAAAATTCAACTGATTATCACAAGAAAGGGATTGATATGGTATTAATTATGATTATATTATAGCTTATTTACTATTTGCATAATTTTAAATAGTAAATCATATTAAATATTTCAGGTAAATAATATTCAAAATAAAATAATAACATCGCCAGATGTAACTTCTCCAGAACATGATACTCTTGAAAATTCTACTGATAATCACAAGAAAGGGATTGATATGGTATTAATTATGATTACTTTAAATCTTATAAATTATTTACCAAACAATAAATCATATTAAATATTTCAGGTAAATAATATTCAAAATAAAATAATAACATCACCAGATATATCTTCTCCAGAACATGATACTCTTGAAAATTCAACTGATAATCACAAGAAAGGAATTGATATGGTATTAATTATGATTACTTTAAATCTTAGGAGATATTTTCTAAACAGTAAATTATATTAAATATTTTAGGTAAATAATACTCAAATTAAAATAGGAACATGGTCAGATGCAACTTTTTTAAAACATGATGTTCCTGAAAGTTCAAATAATGATTACAAGACAGAAATTTCTATGGTACATATGTTATAGTTTGGCATTTGAATTTAATTTTAATTTTTTCATATACATTATRCAATTTTTATTTAGTTTATATTTTACATTTATTTTACTTCTTTAGCTTCTGAGCCATGCATATTACTAAACTATATATATTTTTAATGTTTAGAAAAATAATCAAAATCAAATAATAGCATCTCCAAGACATAACTCTACAATAAGTACAACTAATGATCATGAGAAAAAAATTGATGAGGTATTTAAATTAAATGAGATATATATTTATTTCCTTTTTTCGTATTAGTTTATTGAAATGATCTTATCAGTCTATCAATATCTTTTCATTTTGGAAAGTTAAAGTATATTTAGCTCACTGCTACCTCCTCTAAGAAGGTCTGACAGGAAAGATGGAACAATTGGAACAGAGGTGGAGAGAGACTACAAAGTAATATTTTATGTATYATGCCAGGTCGAACTGTTGACTGCCCACATCATGGCTAGCTGTGTAGTCTTCACGTCACACTATCCACAGACAGGGCTGGATTAGTTGTGAGGGCTTCAACACCATAAAAAATAAAAGCCTTCACAACTGAAGAATTTCATAGTTAATTACATGCTTTAAAACTTAACTTTTTTATTGGGTGGTTCTAATTAACTGAATCTCTTTTAAAGGGGTCATACCTTATATTTATTACATTTATAATTTATATTTTGATTAATTTTAAGATCAATTCAAATGTGGTGAATATTTTACCAGTTGATTCAATATTAACTGAGTCTCAATTCAAAAATTCATTTATTTCTGGTTGTGTGAAAGAAAACATATCAAACAACATAAAAAATAATAAAAATGACAAGGTTGTGAATGAGGTATGCACTATATTCTATTCACATTRAGTTAGAAGGAATCTTGGTGGTTAACAGTTTTTGTCAGACTGCGCTCAGGCAATATTTCTACTGACTACTGAGTCCAGTGGCGTAAATATAAATTAATGTTGGGGAAGTGTTGAACTCCCCACCACAACTCATAAATATACGCCATGGACTGAGTCAATCATCTGTAAGACTATATGTCTGCTATTTAGTATTCTACAGGTGCATAATTTGGCCACCAAGATTTATTCTTAAGAGGAAGTTATACCCACATATATTGTTGTCGTCTTACATTCTTCTAATAAGTTAAATYTTTGTTCCAAATTCTTACAACAGAGTATAATTTGTAGTTAATACTTTAATAAAGAAAATGTGTAGAAAGTGTCAACTGTGCTCAAGCAAAGATTTATAATTTTAATTTTTTAATAAATTATAACTTAAAGCACTTGAATAATTTCTAGTTTATAAAACTTAATATAATATGTAATACATATTTATAAAAATGRCTTTTTGCTCAAGCATAGGATACATTTTTTTCTACAAATTATGAACTTTAATTATAAAAAAACTATATTAAGAATGTATAATATTTATTTGATATATTATAAATATCTAAGACAGAGACAATCTACTCGGGTATGATTTACTCTATTTTATATATATTCAATTTAAAAATTTACAAATTTATAGGATAAATTGTATTCAGCTCAGRCAAGCTCTAATAGTGAAGAAACATCAAATATGTGTTTGGAAACTTCTACAAAATCTATTAGATGTACGCGGGCCAATAATAAGCAAACTAATGATAAAATAAATAAAACATCTACAAAACTATTAAAAAGATCAAATTCAGGAACAGATTCTGAAAACAAATCAAAAAAAAAGAAAACAGAAAAACCTTCTCCTAGTAATGTGGAAAGAAAAAATAATATCAATAACAATGTATGTTTTAATTAATTATTAAGTTTTGCAGTTATTAAAGTCTATTAATGCTTTATATTATTATGTCTATACTCTGTATAAAATAAGAGTAACCTCAGAGGGTAACAATCTGGCCTCTGCCGAAAAATTAAGTCTGTTAAGCTTAATAAATACAATCTAGACTGTTATTAGAATAATAAAGCATTTATAGTAGAACCACTCTGTGCCACACATTTATGATTTAAAAATAATTTTTAAAACTAAATAACATCCTTGTCCAAAATTTTGATTTTTTTGTACTGAAGTATTCAAATAAATATTTTGTTTTAACTATGAAATTAAAAATGTATGTTTTGAAATCAAGTTATTCTAAAAAGTAAAAACTTAAAAAATTTTAGTTAAAAAAAATAATAATTTTATAAGTTCAAAACTTTTCAAAATAAACGAGTATAGATACTTGAATGAACCCCSTTGTATAATTTGATTTATTTAATAGTATACTGCTAAGTCATAGTGGTACTTAACATTATATTATGTTTGTAATTCAAAACAAAATATTTGAACAACTAATTATTTTTAAGTTTTTACTTTTTAGAATTACTTGATTTCAAAACATACATTTTTAATTTCATAGTTAAAACAAAATATTTATTTAATAGTATACTGCTAAGTCATAGTGGTACTTAACATTATATTATGTTTGTAATTCAAAACAAAATATTTGAACAACTAATTATTTTTAAGTTTTTACTTTTTAGAATTACTTGATTTCAAAACATACATTTTTAATTTCATAGTTAAAACAAAATATTTATTTAATAGTATACTGCTAAGTCATAGTGGTACTTAACATTATATTATGTTTGTAATTCAAAACAAAATATTTGAACAACTAATTATTTTTAAGTTTCAATTATAGAATTTTAGTTTATAATCATTGATGACAAAAGTTAAATGTTATTACTTATCAGTTATCAAGAGGATATCTTAACATTTTTTCTCTCACTGGCCCACATTCAGCATCTCAAATTTTATGTTTACAATGATGATTATAATTATAATCTTACCTTTAAATTTTATTAGAAGTAATTTCACTCTGAMTTTATAAATTATTATGATTTTAATCATTATTATTAAAGTAAAATTTGGTATGTTGCTCGTTAGTCAGAGGGAGAGAAAGAAAAATATGCGCCAACATCCTCTTAATTCAAATGCATAATAATTTTTCTTTCAGAAAAATTCARTCAAGGTATTAAATGAATCTATAAAACAAGTTGGAAAAAATGTGTACAGTCGAAATAGTAAAGGAGAAACAAAATTACATTCAGCTTGTACCAAGGTAAAAATAACATTTATAGAGTTTCCATTAAATTTTTTAATTGTTTAGAAAATGAATGCTTTTATTTGAAAAATATTCTAAATTGCTATTTGTTATAATTCTTCACTTTAGCACAAATTTGGCCAAGTGTCAAAAGTGATCAAGTAAACACAAATATTATTATATTATATTCATATATTAATTGTTTAGTTTTTGAACTTAATGATGGTCTAAAATGTATAAAAATTTAATTATTTTCTGATATCTATTATCCTTTTTTTATGTTAAGACCAGAGTTTGAAATAAAATAAGTGTCGTTATATACTGTTAATTCTATTTTATAATTTTAAACTATGTTAAAGTTACCTTTTTTACTATTTTAGGGAAAATTAGATTTGGTAACATCATTGCTTGAAGATGGCTTCAATCCTAATGTTAAAGATAATGCTGGATGGACACCTATGGTATTAATTTTGATTAATAAAATTTATTCTATCCTTATAATATACAAACAGTGCTCACACAATTTTATTTAAAGCATGAAGCTGTGAAATCTGGAAATTTAGATATTGTGAAAGAATTGATCAAGTTTGGTGCATATTTAAATGTTCCTGGTTTTGAATATGAAAGCCCATTATATACAGCTATAAAGTATGGTAATTTTGAAATTGCTAAAACAATTCTAAATTATGGAGCCGATGCAAATTTTATAAATATGTATGGAGATAATGCGAGGTAAAAATTAATTTTAGTAAGAAATGAATAATTAAATTATTATTCTAGTTATTATGTWAACAATTTTTTTTAAAGATTAAATATTTAATTTCTATAAATATCTGAATCTATTATTTTTTTATTCATCTGAAAGCTTTTAAAGTGTTATGTGATATTTTCAATAATATTTGTGTAGCTCTTTAATTAAATACTGATCWCTCGTGGGCCAGAGTGTACAGTCGTTAGTAAATAAAAGTTCAGTAAATCATCTTGTTATGTTTATCTTAATTTATTTTAATAATTTTAAAATGTTTTAGATGTCTTAATAWAGAAAAATTATCTGAGCTGTTGGATAATCTAGTTTTGTGTAAATCAACACAAATTTGCAATTTTAACTATAAATTAGATGAAACTGTCATAGTCCTAAATAATGTTTCATTGAAAAGTGCAACTGTGAACACATTTTGTAAACAATTCAATATTAAATTAGTCAAAAGTATCTTGTATGTTTATTGTTATTTATTTTTCATTTTTTTTTTTTTTATTGGTTTTACTATAAATATGTTTATGTAATTTTGTGACTCAAAGGAAAGAAAAGCAACCTTCTCAAGTTACTCACCTGATTGTACCAAAAACAGAAAATAATACTTGTGATGTTAATTTAGAATGTTTAACTGGCATAGCAAATGGATTATTTATAATTAATGAAAACTGTAAGTATATTTCATTTTTTTAAACCTCTTAGAAATACTACATTTTAATAAACTGCTATTAAATTACTAGCAACTTTTTTTGGATTCCTATACTGGTTGTTCAAAAGAATAATAGAAAATTTTTTCATTTATTAGTCTTAATAGATTTTGTTTATTCATGTATAAGCTCAACTTCTAGCATGCTAGTATAATAAAAGATTATTCAAAAATGTTATGGTTGAATTTTCCGTCTTGACTTGTATATTACTGTGTAACAATTAAAAATRTACYAWAATTAATCATAAACTATATTATTGCAATGTATTACTCTTTTATTAGGGATTTCTGATTCATTAGACCAAAATAAACTTATGAAATGTGAAAATTACGAAGTCGGTGGAACAACATTGTTTGCTGATTGTAATGGCCCAAAGATATCACGAATAAGTAAACAAAAACTGGTAAATATAAAGCTAATTTAACTGATACATTGTTAAATAATTTAATACTATTTAAATACTGATGAAGAAAAATAAGTTTTCAAATCCAAAATAGTAACATGATCTCTCATGAAACTTAAAAAATTTTTGATACATGATTTCAAAGATATAGTATATAAAAACTATTAACAGTAACTTTTTTACAAATTCAAGTAAAATATGTTTTTTAAAAATTGAATTGAGAATTAGAACTGCAGTTAAACCTTATCTATCCAAACTGATTGAGACCTAATTCGAAAATATGAACATTTGGTTAGTGGAATTTTTTTGATTCTAAATCATAAGTTACATTTAAATTACATAATATATTAATATATATAATTAATATGTTCAATTTTGATACATAATATCAGAAACAAATA